GTAATGCTAAAAAAAAAAAAAAAAAAAACCGTTAAGTGGACTTGTCAAATTTTGTGTCGTTGAAGTAAAAAACTTAAAGAAAAAACAATAGCCTAACCGAACCCAATACTCTATGCAACTCAACTCAATCCATATGGTTCGGGTTGGATTGGTGGGATTCTTGGGTTTGGTGTACACCCCTAGCCGATGGTTCGAATATGCTCGTAATTATTAAATTAATACACCTAGCTTACCATAATTAATTAATTAATTTGTCAAAGACCCTCAACAAGACAAAAGGAATTAATAATTAAAAAATAAAAATAAAAATAAATTGAGAATATTTTAAAAGGTGGGTAGGGTATGACTAGAGTTTGCACTAGGAAACAAACAAAAAACTACATGTGAGTGGAGTTTGGTTCAAACATCTATAACTTGGCCTGCACTGAAAAAGTTGCAAATTTTAATATTAAAACAATTATGGATCTAAAAAAAACCCGAACCCGAACCTGAAGCCCAAACCCATTTCACTACAAAATTTACCATCCAGCCCAATAAATTTATATTATTGGGCCTCATCGGTATTGGCCCACTTATTGAGCCCAAAATCTAATAGCCGTCCATTTGTTTTGATTTAGATAATTACTTATCCAATGATTTAAAAGACATTATATAATTTCATGAAATTAAAAAATTCATTATATTACATATTTCATTTATTTTTTATTTAAAGGTTAATTTTATTTTAGTTCTTAAAATGATTAATTTCAATTTCTCCATTTTCATGAATATTAAAAATAATTAATTGTATTTTTTTCTTTCTATATTATAAGAATTTTATATATTAAAGATTAACATAAAAATAAAGGGTAAATAATTTTCGATTTAAAATTGAAATTTAGAAAGTTGAATTTGGATAAAAATTAATTTGAAAGAAATAAATTTAAGATTAATTAAAAATGAAATGAAACCCAACATCTACGTTGCGAGGTTAACACCTGAAAGGCATTCGATTTCTTTTGGCTGACCCGAACGACATTTCAGGTGATCTTGGAAGCCATAGCTGGGTTCAGGTTGAATCGTATCGGAACTGATCTGCCGAGGAAGAATTGTGCAGAGAGGGACGAAAACGGCGACGAGAATGATCACTGACGGAGTTGAAGACGAAGAGAAGTGGCTTGCTGCTGGGATCGCCGGTCTCCAGCAGAATGCCTTCTACATGCACCGATCTCTGGTATTGCTATTCATTTCTTGCAAATTTTATTGTTTTCGTGTATAGTTCGTTCTTAAGGACTGTATAGATCAAGGAGGAATTCCTGGAAAAGCTCGAAATGGCTTGATTCAGAGATGGGGTTTTCCATTAGAACCCTAATTTCAGTTTGATGATGCCCCAGGACTCCAACAATCTCAAAGATGCCTTGAAGTATTCTGCGCAGATGCTGTCTGAGCTACGGACTTCGAAGCTTTCCCCTCATAAATACTACGACTTATGTGAGCTTTTTCTCTCGGGTAACTGTGTGTTGGCCTTTGGAATTCAAGAAATCAATGTAATTTGTGAGATTTTTATTTTTTACGTTTCCAGACATGCGAGCGTTTGACGAGTTGAGGAAGCTAGAAATTTTCTTTATGGAGGAGACGAAGCGGGGTTGCTCAATAATCGACTTGTACGAACTTGTGCAGCATGCTGGCAACATATTGCCCAGACTGTGAGTTATTTTTTTTTTTTTCCCTGAAACCTGATTTAGTGTTGCTGCAAACTAAGCTTTGATATTTCTCCTTCTCTTTGTACGATGGATGCGAGTTTCTTTAGAAATGACTATTAGGTTTTTCTGGCATGGTTATTGATGGATGTTATGTGAAAAGGAAAGCCAAAATTATTTGCCTTAATGCCATTGAAGCCAAAATTGCTTGTTTATGTTTCTGCCTCAGAAGAGTTTCCGAAATTACTTCCATTGTCTATAAACAAAACTTTAGTTAAAAAAAAGAAGAAAGACCTAGAGGCCAGGGGGATGATACACCCCTGTCAAGGAGAGGGATTAAAAGAAAGATCCTCAATAAGTTGATTGCAGAAGTAGCCCAGTAAAGAACTTCCTGGAAAGCACTCCAACTAGGTGGTTACTGAGGTAGGGGTTTTCCCTTCGTCCTACTTAGGTCTTCCCCTAGAGATCTCTCCTTTTGCGATCCTATCATTGGGAAGATTCGCAAGAGGCTCACCTTTTGTTAGAAGAGTCTCTTCTCCAAAGGGGAGACTCACTCTTATTCAATCTGTCATTAATGGTTGGTGCTATTCTTTCCTCAGTTTGAAAGGTAAAGATTTCCAAGAAGGTGAAGTTCTTTTTATGGTCGATTTTGCATGAAAGAGTTAACACCTTAGGTTGAATTTCGGTTAGAGGGTCCTTGGTGGTTGGGACGCATTGTTGTATTTTCTGCAGGAGAGCGACAAAGGTCCTGGATCATATCCTATGGAGTTGTGATTTTGCTCATGCAATCAAGTGCGATTTCTTTGAGGTGTTCGATTTTAGCTTTGTCCGCTCCCAGAGTTGTAGGGAGACAATTGAGGAGCTTATCCTCCATCTGCCCTTTTGTGATAAAGGGCGTTTTTTGTGGCAAGCTGGAGTACGTGCTATTTAGTGAGGGCTATGAGGCGAGAAAACAACAAAATCTTTAAAGGGGGTGAGAGTTCTTTAGCAATGTGTTGGTCTCTTGTTAGATTCTCTGGTGCTTTCTAGACCTCTATTTTCAGGCTCTTCTGCAATTATACACTAGGACTTATTTCTCTTGACGGGAGCCATTCTTGTAGTTTGACTACTTTTTCTGGGTTTTCCCTTTTGTATTTCCATATATTCTCTTATTTTTTTCTCAATGAAAGTTAAGTTTTTTTTACCATAAAAAAGGGTATTGTTTAAGATCTCAACAAGAGTTCTAGGAGAATTCTGGACAACAATCTTGGTTTTCTTGACTCGAGAATTTTTGGAAGCCAGCCACCGATATCTTTAGATAACATCAAGCCAGTACAAGTCTTGAAAAATGAAGTAGTATTTTTCGGCCAAGTCGCAATGAACGAACAAATAGTCAGTACCTAATTCAAGGTACAATTCAAACAAATCTAGGAGAGAGAGACTATAACGGGTGGGTTCTTCTTAAATCTTATCCTGGGTATTCAAGCTATTACAGGTCAATTACCAATAGGAAATATGTTATGGTTTTATCTTGCCGTACCACATTTTCTTTGCAAGTAATCTCTCCAATGTGGTGGTTGATGCATTTATAGGTAGAGTTTTGCAGATTTGAAGGAGAACCTTCCTACATAGTCAAGAGTCCCAAGACACTGTACTCTGTTTGATTAGTATTCTTACGCTCTAGCATACAAGCAAATCTGACCAATTTTATGGCTTTCCATAAAAAAGGTTTCTTCTGAGGTCAAAATCCCAAGTTTAGTGCCTTTTCTCAGCTCTCCAGAAATCTCATACTGGCTTTCTGTTTGTAATCGTGATGGCATGGAATGAGGGAAAGTTTGGCAGAGAGGTCGGGAAGGAACTGGGCCAATTATCTTCTTAACATTGGATCGCTGCTCATTTTGAAGTCTGAAAGATGCATGCACCCCACCGTTAGCTATGGAATTATTAATGAAATGCTTGTTCCAAATAAGTTATATAGTTTAATCTCAAAGAATTTCAAGCACCAAATGTACCAATGATATTTACTACTGATTGCCAATATAATCAACTGAACCTATGTTTAGTGATCAATGCTACACAAGTTTTAGTTCATGGTTTGACTCTTGTTTTCCTCATTGACTGGTTTGGAGTTCTCAAGTGATCAGGTTCAAAGATCTCTATGAGAAAGCCGAAGTTCACTTGAGTTATATTTATCATCAGTTTTTGGAAATGTATATTTTGTCTATTGAGCATTGCTGCTAATATATATGTTCTGTTTTGGAACATTTTCTTGATTTATGGAACTCTCCAGGTACCTTCTTTGTACTGTGGGATCGGTGTATATCAAGTCCAAGGAGGCTCCTGCAAAAGATATTCTTAAAGATCTGGTTGAGATGTGCCGCGGTATTCAGCATCCCTTACGTGGGTTATTTTTAAGGAGTTATCTTTCTCAAGTCAGTAGGGATAAGCTACCTGATATTGGTTCAGAATATGAAGGGTAAGGAATTCGAGTATTCATTGGCTTAAGATGATCAATAAGCCACTGGGTTAACTTAATTGGCAACATAAGGAATACGTGCTTAGCAATCAAATTTAAAAAAAACGGACTACACAATCTGCCCTTTTGTGAGAAAGGGTTGTTTTTGTGTCAGGCTGTGTGGTGCTATTTTTTTGGGGCCCGTGGGGCGAGAGAAGCAATATAAGCTTCAGTGGAGGGAGAACTTCGATAATGATGTTTGGCCTTTTGTTAGATTCTCTAGGTGTCGGTGTTGGTGTCTCGGCCTATTTGTAATTACTTGCCATGTCTTAATTTACTTGATTGGAGTCCTTTCTTGTAGTTAGCTCGTTTTTGTGGATTTTTTATTTCCCTTTTTTGTAAGCCTGCGTAATCTTTCATTTTTATCACAATGAATTTTAAATATGTCATAAAAAGAAAAGGTCTACACCATAGGATCAAATATTGATGATCCTGCCAAAGGTACTTCATCTCATAACTTAATGACCTTCATATTTTTTGGTCGAAAATGTAAATTCTTGATATTTAAGGGGGTAATATTTTCCAAAAGAAGTAATGAATATATAAGAATATGCAAATACTTCAAGAAGTTGAAGAGACTAGTTATCTATTTCTAATGATACATTGGTGTATATCAAAATATTCAAGACTAGTTATGTGTAATGATAACAAAAAAAATAATATGCATCACTAGCAGACGAACTTGTGTTTTTATTTTTGTCACAAAATGTGATTTATGATAGCGGCCTTTGCTTGATCCTTATTTTTGAACTAGAAAGCATTACAGGCATTTCTATTGAGTTAATCTGTGGATGTTTCCTTGATGCCCACAGAGATGCAGACACTGTGAACGATGCAGTTGAATTTGTACTCCAAAATTTCACAGAAATGAACAAACTTTGGGTACGAATGCAGCATCAGGTGGGTTCAGTCATCCGATATTGTCACCTACTCTCAGTTTGAACATGCATGGTACAAGGATGACTGCATGTCATGAGGGTACAAATAGTTCTTGAGTGCATGATTTATGATCATGCAGGTTATAATGCTTGTGAATCATTCATACTCTTAGCTGACCCTGTGTTGAGGCTTGCTGTCGGGCTTTCTGGTCTGCAGGGACCTGCCCGGGACAAGGAGAAACGGGAGAAGGAAAGGAGCGAGCTACGTGATCTTGTAACATCAGAATTCTGAGACTGGTTACTTTCACTAAAATGGCATTGTGTACATTCTCCATGTACGCTCATACAATTTTTGCCCTCCCTCTTCTTGTCATTAGGTTGGAAAGAATCTGCATATTCTCAGTCAGGTGGAGGGTGTTGACCTTGATATGTACAAGGATATTGTACTTCCTAGAGTCTTAGAGCAGGTGTTAATTGCTCAATTTTCTTTTACTATTTTTCGAGTCCCTCACTTTGTCATTGTCACTCTAATGATCATTCCTATGTTTCACAGGTTGTTAATTGTAAAGATGAAATTGCTCAATTTTATTTGATGGAATGCATTATTCAAGTATTTCCTGATGAGTATCACTTACAAACCCTGGATATTTTGTTGGGTGCCTGCCCCCAACTTCAGGTGAGTGGCAATACCATCACTTGTGTTACTGCTTAAAAATTCATTTTCTATGGTACTGCAAATGTTTTTAAGTTTTTTCCAGTACTGAATGATGAGCTTCATTTTCTAGACTTTTTATTTTGATGTAGTAGTTTTGTGGGCTATTTTACATGTATCATCTTGAGCTTATTTATTTAATTGTTTGTTTGATTCTCAAAAGTTGATGTGAGACTGGATGCCTATTTCATTGGGAGTTCCCAGGGAAGGCTTGTTTTCATGTTCATCTCCTCTTGTTTTTGGTTTTTTCCTTATCAATGTTCACAATTTTATTCTTACTCTCATCGTTGGGATGAGGCGCTTTAAGATCAAGTGTATTCTCTATACCGGTGCATCTTCAACTTTGTGTTGGGTGTTAGTTGGGTCTATCCATCAATGTTGTATCATCATGAATGCTATATGCAAAACGGCTTGGTTAGGTTTATGGGACATGCTTTGATTATTAGTTTCTCTCGGAATTGGGACAGTTACACAATGATTGAGGAGGTGCTCCTGAGCTTTCCTTCTCCGGAAAAGAGAGTTTTATGGCATGCTAGTTTCTTTGTTATTTTGTGGAGAGTTTGGTTGTTGAGAAACAATAAATTTTTTATAAGATTTTAGAGTGGTGGAGAGGTTGTGTGATTAGGTTTAATTGGGCCTTTGTAATTATGATCTTAGCTTGATTGCTTGGATGGGAGATCCTTATTGTAGCTTTTCTGCATCTCCCTTTTTGTTGAGCTTATTTTTTTGCATGCCCTTGTATATTCTTTCATCTCCTCAACGAAAGGTTGGTTTCTTACAAAAAAAGCAAAAATCTTGGTTTCTTTAATGCATAAATGGAGACTTTTCTTTATAACATATCTAATTGTGAGACGTTATTTGTAATGCATCTAATTTGTTGGATGTTTTGAGCCTCTTGGAAGGCATCGACATCCATCAACAAGCAGGTAGTTGTGCTACTAAGAGCACATTGAGGCATACTAAGGCATACCACAGATATTTAGGCATTGTTTAGAGCTAAGATTTAGATGGGCTTGTTCTTACTCAGTTATATTGAAAAGAAGCAACTCATTCAGCATTTGCATTTTACAAGTGCTTTATATTATTCTTATAATAGAAAATGTTGTTTGTTTCACTTTATATTTTTGGAAGTTATTTAGCCTTATACGTCCCTCTCATGATTTATATTTCTCAGCCATCTGTTGATATCAAGACTGTGTTGTCCCAATTAATGGAGAGGCTTTCAAATTATGCTGCTTCAAGTGCAGAAGTGTTACCAGAATTCTTGCAAGTCGAAGCTTTCTCAAAACTGAGCAAAGCCATTGGGAAGGTAATTTTTTTCTTTTAGCCTTAGAGATTCGTAGTGAGAAATTCTTTAGTTGAGTATACAACTAATTTCTGGAGTTGGGTTTCTTTTGACTAACAATTTGTTACTTTTTTCAACCTTTTATTTTTGGAAACAAAACAAATTTTTTTTTAATCAAAATAAACCAAACTCCAGACATTAGTTGTATACTCAACTAAAGGATTTATTTATTTCATCAATATTTTATATAAGAAACCAACTTTTGTTGAGAATTTTTTTCCCAAGATAGTTAACAATTTTTTTTTTCATAAAGTTGTGCTCCTCCCTTTTTATGAAGGATGGATTAAAGTTAGAAACCAAAGAAATCTCTTTTGAGGAATATATGTATTTGTTTCTTACAAAAAAAGAAAAAAAGAAAAAGATATTGGGCCATGACATCGACATCTTCTAGGTTGACTATTTAGTTGATATTTACTTTATTTCTTCTATATTTGATTTCATCAGTTTCTTTTGTTTTTTTTTCTTTCCTCTTTCAAATAAATTTTATTGTCATCTCTATCACTTAAGAGACATGTTTTTTGGTGGTCGTAAAATAGTATCATAAGTTTGTCTCTGAAAAATAGTCTATAGTTCATAATTTTCTTAAGATCACTTAATTAGTTAAATTTGATATATGTGAAATATTCACTTTGCAGGTGATAGAAGCACAGGCTGATATGCCTACAGTGGGAGTTGTAACTTTATACTCAGCACTTCTCACATTTACACTTCATGTTCATCCAGATCGTCTTGATTATGCAGATCTTGTTTTGGTAATATTTGATTGTTAAATATTTTGATATAAAGCCTGCTAATTTGTTAAAAAGATAATCGAAATTGCCACCCACTTCAAAATTGATCACAACTATTCTATATCAATCATCTGAATGTAGCTAAGGCAATGGATTAAAAAATAAATTTCTTTTTGAAGTTTTTAATCCATGTAATTCTAGGTAAGAAACTAGGGATCTGTTTAGAAGTTGGTTTGAAATCTTTTAGAGGTAAAAAAAAAAAAAAAAAAAAAAAAAAAAAAAAAAAAAAAAAAAAAAA